AACCCCCCCCCCCCCCCCAACAAAATTTACCTCCCCATCCACTCAATTTATTTATGCCAAACCCCCTTTTTCATCCACCACCCCCAATCTCATACCCCAACAAAACCTCCGTCCCACTACCCTCCCACCCGCGATTCCCCGCCGCAGAAAGCATAAACCTGCAGGACGGATCGATGTGTATGGCACTGATAACCCCGCCTCGATGCCCCGGCACAATCGTGAAAGGGACACGACTGTGTTTCGTGCTCTCCGGCTGCGTCAGGTCGTAAATCCGGAGAATGTCTTGAGAAGCGCAGACCAAGTGTTTGCGATTCGGCATGCTGCGAACGGCGTAGACGGGTCCGCTGCCTTGTTGGAAGCGGAAGGTTCGGTGGGGTTCGCTGCGTTTTGTGCTCAGGTGGTGGATGGAGTATTCGTCGACGGTGCAGTTTCGCCGGCCGACGTAGAAGGAATTGCCGTCCGGGCTCCAGCAGGCTCCGGTGGCCCAGGGGGGAGTGTTGTTCCAGGGTGAGATGCTTGCGACTGGTGTGGCCATGCGTCTGTCCCAGATGCGGAGCGTGCCGTCGATGGCGGTGTCGAGGAATGTTGATTCTGATTGGGGTGGTAGGTCGGGTTTGCTTTCGTCATTCGTTGGAGGTGCTGTGAGAGGCTCGTCGGAGTGTGGGAGGCCGTTCGTCAGGATCGCTGCTGGTTGATCGTGTCGTGTATGGTCTTGCTTGGAGTCTGCGCCAGAGCCAGCGTGCGGGTTCACAGCCTTGGCGGCTTCAGCAAGCTCTGGGGCAGGATTTGAAGGGTCAATATCTTCAACAGGCTGGACGGGACCTCCACTCCCCAAGCCACTCATATCCGGATCTGCTGCTGCATCCTGGCCTGGGTCGGCCATTTCGCTTTCTAATGCTCGCGTCAAATCATCGTCGTCATCGAAGCCAGCACCTCCGCCTCCGCCCGCACCGCCTGTGTCGTCGCCGAAGAGCGAGCCGTGATCACCTTCGCCAAAAAGACTGCCATCCGGAGAACCAATCGCATCCTCATCGCCGCCGATGCCTGATGGTCGTCTACTAGGGCCGTTGGAGAAGCAGTTCAGACCGGCCTTGTCTGCATTGTTGCTGGAGAAGGTCAAGCTTTCAGGCTTAATTTCAGTCACCTCGGGTATTGGTAGATCACTGATGGGTCTCGTTTCGATGGAGCTAATTTGACTGCCGGAGCCTTTGAATGACCGCTTCACCTGGCCAGTCTGTAGATCCCAGTCCAGGATGTTCTTGTCCCAGCTACCGGAAAGCAATTGCGTCTCATCTTGTGACAGCTGTAAGACAGAGACCGCACTGGTATGCTCCTTCAAGGTTGTGATGCGAGTGCCAGCTTGGTGTCGGCAGGTCTGAAGGTTGATGCCTCCAGACTCCAGTCCGGAAAGTAGCCAAAGCGCCTGGTGATGTACTGCCAACGAGTAGACCGGGCTTGTCCACTTTCCATCGTCCGCGTTCTTCGGTGGTGTATGCAATAATGCCTCTTCATTCTCCCAGTACGTCAAAAGCGATCCAGCCTTCATAACGCTGTCCACAAATGGGTGTTTTTGCGCCACTGTCAGAGGAACCTTGCCATTCGCAGTCTCTACCCAGTTGAACATGCGCACGTAACCATCCGTACCTCCCGAAAAGACCCATTTCATGTCGGGTGTCGCGGCAATGGCATTGATCGAGGTGCTCTGTGGTGCAGCCATTGTGGGAACAATGTCATACGCTTGCGCGGTGAGGGCTTCTGGTCGCGTCGGCGGGATGTATGACTGCACAATACGCGCGCCGGGAGATCGCGCAGCTGAGACGCGAGGGGAGGGAGAAGTCAAGACGAGCGCGGGATTCTGCTGGTCTTTGCTCGCTGTATGTGTGGGCTGAGTTGCGCGATGCGTTGGGGAGTCTGTATCATTCTGCTCGTCTCCTTCGTCGTCATCGTTCTCGTTGTCATCGTCGTCATCATCGTCTCCAGCATCATCTTCATCGTCATCTCCACCGCCGTCCATATCCTGGTCGGCGTCTTGATCTGCCTCGTTTACGTCCTCCATCTCCTCATCTTCATTTTCATCCTCGTCTTGCGACCCAGCGGTCGGGTCATTGTCGTCGTCATAGGAGGCCATTGTTGCGAGCGAGCTCCTAATGCCAAGGGTGCGTATGGGCTGTGTAGACGTAGGTTTGTTCTTTACTGTCGGAGCCTGTCAGCTTCCGAGTCCAATGTGCGTGCGCTTCTCGATCCAGATCTGTATGGTGGCGGCGGCGGCGGCGGCAGTGGTAGTGAAGCTGTGTATGGCAATTTGTATGGCAGTGTTGATTTTTTTTGGCTGATATTCAGAGCTCCAGCTGTCCAAGTTCTGGCTAAGTTTTTGCTCTTTCTCCGCGTCTTCTTTGCCAGATCCAAAGCTGCATTTGCGAGGGAGCGAACTGAAATGTTGCAGACCACTAGGGTCTCTTGAACTTTCTTCACAGTACAATAGCCTCAATAGCCTGTAGGGTGGAGTGTAAATCAGAGTACAAGAATACCCGCGAGCTCTTGTTGCTGCCCCCGGACCGCGGGCCTGGCCTGGGCACTCCGCAGAGCCGCTTTTGCTTGGCTTCAGGGGCGGTGAACCTTCTTCTCCACTTTCACACTTCATCTCTGATACAACGGACCGCACATATCACTCTGCACGGTGTATCTTTGTGCTGCGGTGCGATAGAACAACATGTCAGAAGTGTGAAAGCATGCCAGAGCGAGGGATGCAGATCATGTCGACTAGGCTGGGGGCTCGAAGAGGGAGGCATGGAAAAAGCAGGCAAAGATGGAAGCAAGTCGCTTTCAATCTAAGCCCACGAAATTGGGAGCTTCCTCTGATGTGCACGTGTCATATGAGAGAGGTAATCGACTCGCGCTCCGAGGGAGCTCACGGAAAACATGAGTGAAGACGGGAGGCTGAAAGCGTGGCACTTTTGGGGTGCCAGAGCTGCGACAGATGTGACGTAAGTGAGTAGAAGCATTGTTAGCTGAGGAGACAGGCTGAACAGTGATGTCTGTAGGCCTAGATTGCACGATTCTATTGAACGAAGATTCGGGGCTGATTAAGCCCGGCTTTTTCAATGGGCCCAAGTCCTGAAAGCTCACCGGGTCATGCTTCCACTGCCTCACATCTCGAGTATGATATTGTCCTTCCACACGACGAAAGCATAGATTCAAGTTCACTGGCACGGCTGTGCATTTTGCGCAGAGCGGACGGATAGCCACCGCGATGTACGGGTGGTTCATGCAGCAAACGGCAAACGGCATGCTGATCACAAACGCAAACCGCAAATCGACACCTTCCCTCACGACACTCCCTCTGTGCATCGCCGTCCAATCTCGGACAGGCCAGCCTCAATCTGCAAGCAGTGCGAGTGAATAAGACCATCAGTCAACTCATCCACGGCGCGGCCATTCAGTACTGCTACTGCTCTTGTATTTCTTCGCATGCGGGTCTGCTCACCGGTTTTGCGTGACGCGCTTGCCTTTGCCTTTGCTCTGCTCTGCGGGAAGCTGCTGAACGCGACGCGACGCGACGTGTATTGCTTCCTCCACTTTCTGCAAGCTCACTTCAGCAATTTCGACTTCCCCTCCGCACCAACACCACTACCGCGCTCTCTGCATCATCTCAGCCTGAACACCAAAGTACAGGTGGCAAGAGTTGGCTCGCTGGAAGGTACGTCTTACTTGCTCTCGTCACCTTCGGCGTTTGCCTCAACACCTCAACTCTTCATCGCTCACCTCCTCGCACCGCACTACACCGCACTACACCGCACTACACCGCACTACACCGCACTACACCGCACATACACTAACATCGCATTTCAACCAGTACAGTCATGAACGAAGGCCTTCAAGAGCGTTTCGGCCGCTCGCGAACCGCTGTTCGCCACGAAGGCGACACGGCCAAGGTTTGCTTTCTGCCGCCGAAACTGAACCCAAAAGTTCGCGAGTACTTTGAGCCCGGCGAAGTCGAAGGCGGCGCCTGGCTCTCCAAGCCTGAGATCCCGACATCAGCGGAAGTGCTTGATCTCGACACTGTCAGCGCAAGCGCTTCTGACGTGATTGAGCTGGAGCCCAACAGACCACATGGCCCTTGGCAGTCTAAGGAGCAGTACTTGAGCACTCTCTACGAGCTGTACCGCGAAGATGCCCTCCGCGGCCTTCGCGAAGCAGTCTCAATGACTCGCCACACTCCACATGCCGCTGAAGACGCATTCAATGGCAAAGTCGGCATCTATACCAAGGTCAGTCTGGCCTTTGACGCGCCGCCCGTCACATGCTGACCTGAGCAGGTTCACATCTGCGGCGCGACTTTGTCTACACGTGGCTTCGCCGTCCGCGTCACTTTCAGTCTCCTCCGCGCTGGCAAGAAAGTCCTGTGGGAACAGTCAAAGCGCCTCATCGCCGGCAGCTTGGTCGTTCTTACACCAATGAATAACAAGTTCGTGTCTCGCGCTATTGTCGCCACTGTTGCCGCTCGACCACTGGAGGGACTTCAGCAGAATCCACCCGAGCTTGATCTCGCCTTTGCCCGTCCCGAGGAGTTAGAGCTGGATCCTGCTACGGAATATCTTATGGTAGAGGACCGTAGCGGACTTTTCGAAGCTAATCGGCACACCTTGCTTGGCCTTCAGCGCATGATGCGCGAGGTTTTCCCCTTGTCAGAGCACCTCGTTAGTGTACAGCCTCGCATTTCAGCGCCTGAGTATGTCAAAGCACAGCCGAAGCGAGATCTAAGCTCTGTCCTAGTCAACAACTCTAACGAGAGCTTCGAGAACAACAACTCTAACGAGAGCTTCGAGAATGTTGACATTGTCAAGCACTGGCCTTCTAAGCCTAACAGTGCTCTGGATGCCTCTCAACTGGAAGCGCTTCGACGTATTCTGACGAAGCGGCTTGCCATTATTCAAGGCCCACCCGGAACTGGCAAGACCCATGTCTCTGTACAAGCTATCAAAGTAATGCTCGAGAACTGGAACAAGGGCGATCCACCAATAATCATCGCTTGTCAGACTAACCACGCTATCGACCAGTTTTTACGTCACATCGCTGTATTCGAGGAAGAATTTGCACGTCTCGGTGGTCGCAGCAAGGACAAGGATGTCGTCAAGAAGCGGACTCTCTACGCCCTCCGCATAGCAACTTCAGAGAATCCTCCTTCTGGCTGCCTCTCAGGTTGGGCTAAGAAGAGAATGGTGGACTTGCAGAAGGAGATTAGCGTGATGCTCTCTCCGCTCCAGCCTGCCGAAAAGCCGATGGACTTCTGTACACTTCGAGAATTCAAGATCCTCACCAAGAAGCAGGCGGACTCTCTTGAATCTGGTGCATCAAGATGGGTGCAAGACAAGAGGACCAACCCAAATCAAGCTCGGTCGCCGTTCACTATTTGGCTCGCCGACAAACTCAGACCTGTTCCTATTAAGCAACCACCAGAAGAGTTTGGCTTTGACTTTGAGGAGGCGGATCTGGAATTCGAACAGCTGAAAGAGTTGGAAGCCGAGAACGCTGCCAAAGACGACGAGGACTTTGAGACTCTCCGAGGTCCGTACCTGCCTCTTGCCGATAACTTTACCTGCCACCCGACACCAGGCATGGACTCGAAAGCAAAGGACTTTCTCAAAGAGCAAGACATGTGGAAGATCCCAGAAGCTAGCAGGCCTTCAGTGTACCGCTATCTGCAAGCTGAGATGAAGCGATGCATCACGGCTGCGGTGCGGGAGAAGGTCAAGAAGTTCGACGAGGAGGCTAAGAAGCGCAAGATCGGCATGTGGGAGGTCGACGAGAACATCCTCAAGAAGCAAAAGATCATCGGCATGACCACCACAGGTCTCAGCAAGTACCGCGGCCTCATTTCCGCGCTGCAGCCTCGTGTCGTTCTCATCGAGGAAGCGGCCGAGACGCTCGAAGCTCCGGTCACTGTAGGATGCATGCCTTCCGTCCAGCACCTGATCCTCGTCGGCGACCACAAGCAGCTTCGACCACACACTCATGTGCCGTCTCACGAAAATGAGCCATTCTTCCTCAACGTCTCGCTTTTTGAGAGGATGGTCAACAACGGCGTCGAGTTCAGCACGCTCACCAAGCAGCGTCGCATGATTCCGGAGATCCGTCGAATCCTCCACCCTATCTATGCCAACCTCATCAAAGACCACTCGTCTGTCGCAGACCGGGATCATCGACCGGATGTGCCTGGCATGGGTGGAGTCAACTCCTGGTGGTTCACGCACCAGTGGGCTGAGCAGCGAGATGATTCCATGTCCTGCTACAACCCCATGGAATCCGGCATGATCGTTGGCTTTGTGGAATACCTTGTCTACAACGGCATGGAGACCGAAGACATTACTGTTCTCACCTTCTACAATGGACAGCGGAAGCGTATCCTGTCCGAGCTCCGCCAACGCCAATCATTGGGAGGCCGCATCTTCAACGTTGCCACTGTCGACTCATACCAAGGTGAAGAGAACAAGGTCGTCATCCTGAGTCTTGCACGCTCAAACGACAGCAAGCAGATTGGTTTTCTGGGCGTCGACAACCGTGTGTGCGTGGCTCTCTCTCGCGCTCAATGCGGCTTCTACATCTTCGGCAATGGCAAGCTACTGTACGATGCCGAGACTCAGTACAAGAAGATCAAGAAGAAGCAGCGTGGACCAGACGGAAGCGTGCGCAAGCTGGTTCTTCCTGCCAAGCCCAAGACCTGGACGCAAGTCATCACCATCATGGCTGGTTCTGGTGAGCCTTCTGAGGTGCCGCGACTTGAAGCTGCACGCTTCGATCAGAAGATTACAGTGCGCTGCCACAAGCACAACAAAGCGACCGATATCAAAGAGCCTGAGGATTGGGAGAAGTTCGTGGGTGGATGCGATGTTCCTTGCGGCGAGCTTCTGTCCTGCGGTCACCCTTGCCCAGTCACTTGCCACCCCTTCTCCCACGACCACGTCTCTTGCGACACTTGTCGGACTCCCAAGCCGACCGCCACGGAGTTCCCTTTGGCTCTCAAGGATATCTCCAATGGTCAAGACGTTGGTGAGCCGGGCACTCCTTCTCGCGGCTCCGTGTCTGACGCCCACTCTTGGAACTCTTTTGCTTCGAGCGAGGAGGAGCGCATCAAGAAGGCCAAAGCTGCCTACAAGTCCAAGTCCACGACTCATCGCACAGGCTCAGAGTCAGACGGTGAACTGCTTGATTTGGGTGATGCGACCAGCAAGCTCACCTTCGGTCGGGAGGGTGCGAGCTATGAGCACTCGATGAAAGAGAAGGATGCTGGCAATGGTCGCACGAAGTGGAAGTGCCAGTATGGTTCTGGACAGTCTCCGGCGAAGTCTCAGGAGGACTGGTCAGCTCGGGAGAGCCTTCTTAACTAGCGAGATCTTCTCATACGGGCATTCGGAAAGAGGTGGTCGTCCATGAGCTGGGCGGTATTACTGGCCAGTGGCGTAGCACGCGCGAAGTCTTTTGCCATGCTGCTGATCGCTTCATGCAATTAAAGAAGTCCATGTATACCGCCTCCCGTCTCGTGCTCTATCGGGCAAGCAGTTTGTGTTTTCTTGACGTCCGCTTCCCCGGTCCTTACGTATACTCCCTTCAACCGCAGCTTCTCCTCCTCCATACGACTTTGGCAGTACATGGACTGAGTCGCTTTCTTTCTTTTGTATAGGCAAGAATAATGCAGCTCAAGCTTTTGTGGGTCTCCAGCATGAGTAATCAATCATTGCAGTTCACTCACTATGAGCCATCGACATCAACTTCGTATAATTCGTATCGGTATCCTCATCGAGTCCTATGCAACACCACCCTTTTCCGCTGTCTCACCTCATAGCAAAGATGGTGAGCAATTGCATGGTGCTACCGGTTGCCTATGCAGGTGAGGGTCGACTGTGACGAAGACTCGCTGTGACTTACAAGAACGCGCCAGACATCAGATATTGCTGGCTGCCGCGGTCTACTGACAAAGTTGAGCATTGTAGGAAGAAGGAGATGATGTTGTTCTGCAAGTAATATATACCCCGGTCCAAACAGCCCTCCAAACACCTGGCCTGTGCTCCTCGGCAGTATCATCGTGACGCGCATCGCGTCTGTCGTCTGTCATCTCAGCTTCCATGTGAGATGTAAGACGCATCTTACATTCATTCCACCCTCCCATCCAGAAACCGAAACTCCCACCAGCATCGCTTCTCACCTCACCTCACCATCATGGCCCCCGCCGACCCCCCCTCCTTCATAAGCACAACAACAATCCTCTCCCTCCTCTCAACCGTCTTCATCCTCGCCCTCGCCTACCTAACCTCCCTCCTCGCCCTCCCCAAAACCTCAACCCCCACAAAAACCCGCCTCCTCTTCATCTGGCACGCCTTCGACGCCCTAATCCACCTCATCCTCGAAGGCGGCTACCTATACAACTGCTTCTTCAGCTACCGCACCCTCACAACCCCCGACCTCCAAACCTCCGCCTACCTCCCCCCAAAAATCTACTTCCTCGGCCGCCGCGACAGAATCTACGGCTCCGAATACGGAACCAACGCGCTCGCGAAATTATGGATGGAATACGCGAAAGCTGATGCCAGGTGGGGAGGCAGTGATTTGACGATTGTGAGTTTGGAGATTTTGACGGTGTTTGTGATGGCGCCGTTGGGGGTGTATGTTTGTGATTTGTTGCGGAAGAAGGGGAGGGAGAAAGAGGCGTATTTTTGGATGGTTGTGGTGGCGACGGGGGAGTTGTATGGGGGCTTTATGACTTTTGCGCCCGAGTGGTTGACGGGGAATCCGAATTTGGATGCGAGTAATTGGATGTATCTTTGGTTATATTTGGTATTTTTCAATGCGGCGCTTTGGGTCTTGATACCGTTGTGGGTCATATATGAGGCGCATGGGCAGTTGAGTGGGAGGGCAAAGACTGGGGTGGGAAAGAAAGTTGAATAGGTCTGGGAAGGACGTGTTTGGTGTTTACATTGTGACGATTTTATGATTAATTCTTTCTTCAACGCACGAAGAAGTTCTTCTCGACATCCCACTCAATACTCTTTCCATCTCCAACGAGCGAAGCATCACTCTTCAGGTAATCAGCAGAATACCAAATCTGACCAGGCTGTATGTGTCCTCCAACGCAACACTGCTGCACGCGACAAAGCCGTACGACTACGCATCCTTCTCCAGCAAAGTTGATCTCGGGAAGCGCCGTGCGCATGGATTTCACGTGATGTTGTCGATATGCTTTGCGTGAGTTACGTTGGATCAAGAATCGTTTTCGCTCCTGCTCGTCTTCTGGCAAGACGTCTTTCTTCTGATCTGTGAACCCAATGATCTCGACATTTGCCGCGAATCCTGGGCGATTTGTGGACGAAGGCAGCATGAAAGCTTGCACAAGATCGTAAATCACCCCGAATGTGAGGTGCGCTTGCTCGGAATGGGAATTCTTGTCGAAGCGCAGAGCCTTGACAGTACCATGTTTCCCTCCCATACTCTCCAATGAATACACGACTTGAAGCTCTGTTGGAGCGGGTTGGCAAGGTAGCATGTGGCGCCAGCTTGCCTCTGGTCTTGAGAAGGCAGCATCGTTGTATGCGGCCGCTGTACTTGGATTGTCACCCTGGGTGCGACTCAAGCGGTGAAAGTCTGTTGACGCCAAAGGCCCGATACATTTTCGGGAGCTCAGATGGGTTCCGTCGATGTAGAAGCCCGAAAAACGCTCCATGAGCAATTCATTTGGTGATACTGTTCCATCGTCTACTGGAGTGTCGTCAGGTACGAAGAAGAGTGCCTGTTGTAGCGAGTTGGATTTCTTGATAAGGCGTCGCCATCCTTGGCATACTCGTTGCGCCAGCAATAATTCTTTGATTGGTAAATGTAGAAATATCAAACGAAGAATCAAGGGATTCGATACCGCGTCCTGAGTGATGGTCATGGTGTTGTAACTTGCGAGATTGATAAACCCCGGCGGTTGCATGAGAATGTGTTCTAGGCAGCTACCGAGCTTGAGCTCCATCCAGCCACTGCTGAGTCATTCCTTGCATTGCATGCTCCGGAGGATGGCCTCGGAGCACTTATTCTATACGGTCTCGCAGACTTCACCGGACAAGGCCATGATGGTGCATTTCGATGACTCTTCGCACTCGGACCAGAAATTCCCCCTCGTAGTACCTGTGTGGCTTCCAGTTCATTTGCGTCTCGCCGAAATGGTGGCTCGCACTGCAAACCCAGAATTGGGCCATTTGCGATCCGAGTCTTGAGTGCCGTATTTGTGCTGGTTCGACGCGTTGCGCTCATGTAGTATGCGTGGCTCTTGCAGCGCTTTCAATCGGCATCACTCATCTCCTTGTCACTGCCACTGCTCTTACTTCGCCCATCCTCTTCAGACGCATGTCTACCATTTCCATTGACTTCTACCACCTCGCCCTCGCTACCTTCTTCACTGTTGTCATCTTCTTGATCCAATTCCTCCAGCTCTTCACCAAGCGCACTTTCCCGCGGCTCAATGCGATCCTCATCTTCCAACCACAGTCTGGGATTGATCTTTGGCAGCGTTGTCGCACAGACTCTGCTCTTTGTAAGAAGGTCGTCGATAAACTCGTCCACATGCGTCAGCGCCCATCCTTCTCTCGTCCGCCGCTTAAGCTTCCTCGAATCTGCGAGATACGGCTCCAGCGTAGTATAGACCTCCTCATCTTTCTCCCACGCAATGCGAATGTAGAATGCCGCGAGTGCTCGCAGGTATTTGTATTCCTCCCCTCCCTTCTCCAAGTAGAACATGATGATTTCTCGTTCGGGCGTGAGTTGGAGCAATTTGAACGCCAGGCAAAGAAACGGCGTTGGCTTTTGCGCTACACCGTACGTGCCACCGATGAAGGTAAGCTCAACAGCACGGTCAAGGAGTGTTGCGGCGTTGAGACCGAAGCATTGTTCTTTCCAGTAGTAGGAGTCCACGATGCGGTCGCGGACAGGCTTTTCGAAGAGTTTCAGCGGGTTGTCGCCGCGTATGAGGACGCCTTGGTAGCCACGTTCATCGAGCGCTCGTTTCGCGTCGGCTTGATGCGCCATGTCGGGCGTGCTATTTGGTGGAGTAGGGTGAGAGCCGCGAAGAAATGTGAACGAGGATCAAAGCTTCGCTAAGTTCACATGATCCTTGGCGGCCGATAAGATTGTTGCTGGGTAAACAAGCCACCGTCGTTCAGCCCTACGATTCCAAGATTTACGAATTGATTGCATGTCATGCAGCCAACCGCGAGAATGACACCCATATTGATCACTACACGCAGCATTCCTCAGACCGAAACCGATATGCCGATATGCGACTTTTGCTAACGCAGTCACAAGTTTCTGTGGCACTCTCCTCCGGCGTTGTTGTCTTCTTCACTCTTCTGCTTTTCTTGTCCGGCTATGTTCTGCAGCAAAAGACGGTGAAGGGGCTGCAAGATGCCGTTAGGCCTCGAATACCGCAGCGGCCTCCCGGCAGTGAAGCACAAGAGCCAGAGATAGTAGAGCTATCAAGGTCGAGACTGTTTGGGGGAAATGGAGGGGAGAGAATTGTCAGGACAGACTTCGATCGTGAGGTGCACAGCTCAGCGGCAGGTCACCGTCTGGACTGGAATCGACTCGCACACATTCAGCTTGTGCGGAACCACCACGATATGTGCTCTGCGATCATGATTCTGGCAGAACTCCACAAGCAAAAAAGCCCGGCGAGAAGGCTGTTGCTTTTCCCGAAAGCATGGGCAGAGCAGAAGAAGGCAGAGAAAGGAGAGACAGAGGATCCATATGTGCAAAGTACGCGCAGGTTGATGAGACTCGCGGCGAGGAGGTACCATGTCGAGCTACACCCGATCGCGCCCATAAGGACTGTCAAGAATAAGGATGGAGAGGATGTCGAGACATACAGTTTGGTGAGCGCATATGCTGTGCAGAACGACTTCGACCGCCTTTTAACGATCGAGACTCCCGGCATGCTGCTCGACGCCGAGCCACTGGACGCCATTCTGGGCTTTACCGAAGCAGCGCCATTCGTGATGCTGCACGACACAGTCAAGAACGACAACGTTCATTCGGAAGACATGTTCCTGCTGCAGCCTTCGAAGACACTTTACAACACTTTGACCAAGACTCTCGAAGAGGAAGCATACTCTGGATTCAACGATACATATCTTGCGTCTTTGTTTCCAGAGCCGGTACTGCTAGCATCCTCATCAGAGAGCAGTGCTTTGATCCGTTCGGTCGGCACTCTCCACCATGCAGGCCACGACTTCAACCAGACGGCGTATCTGGACAATGTCGCATACATACGCTTCTCTGATCCAAAACTGCCAGGTCCCGAATATGATGTTCCATGGGCAGACAAGGTCGCAGCAAGACCGAAGAACAAGGACGCCGACTGGACTTGGACTAAGCTGTATGGTGAATTTGCACAGATGAGAATGGAAATTTGTGGATTGGATTTGGATAGTTGGAGGCCGTAGACGAATGAGGAACGACTTGTATATGGGCTGTAGAGGGATGATACCAGGTCAGTTGGTGTTTGGAGTTGTGCTTTGATGGGAGCACATTGCACATGATTGCAGGAATGTGGATAGAGATCACGTGCTCCCGGCCATCAGTCATGAATTATATAAGCCTCGATCGGCCGGTTGAGGTGACATTCTGCCATCAATTCTTAACTATTATTATTCATCAACCCGAATTTCACAAGCAAGCACGATGGCTTGTCGCCCGCCGATATCTCTCATAAAGCCGCAAGGACGGTCATTCGGACATAGGGAAATCCCGACGTGATGTACGAAGATGATGTACGAAGATGGACGCTACGATGGCTCTACACATGCCGCCACTCACTACATTTCTGCGGCGGATCGAGGTACAGCAGTATGGCAGCAAATTTTTCGAAGCCAAACAAAGCCGAATGCTCGGACGGTAGGTGAGAGTGGTAGGTATGTAATCCATGCACATTCCCCATCCAAGAACCAGGTTCATCACTACTCCCAACTACTCTCGCATCTCCTCACAACATACTGGACTCATCGCACCCTTACGCGGTGTCGAACATGCCACGAACGCCGAGCAGCCAGAACATGCGTCAAGGTGGCAATGGTAGACCAGTCACTCGAGCAGATGCTCAAGTCCAACGGCTTAAACCAGTCACTCGAGAAGATGCTCAAGTCCTCCAAAGGCTTGAAGCATCACAAGATGGAAACCCACGTCAGTTACGGACACTACTACCACGGGAGATATCCAGAGAAATTCCGAGCGCTAACAGGGAGTCAGACATGTCGCAGGACATCACTCTGCGCCGCAGGGCAAGCAATGACGATATTCAACGACTTTCCATGAACGACGAGGACGACAAGGACTCAGACATCCTAGTAGAGGCTGGCATTCCGGACATAGAAAGGCAACAACAAGATCAATTCCGCGGAAAGAACGAAGACAACAAAGAGCAAGATCCCAACATCGTCGACTGGGACGGACCCGATGATCCCCAGAAACCAATGAACTGGTCTCCATTCCGCAAATGGGCAATTGCAATCAACATGGGTCTAATGACACTCGTCGTAACATTCTCATCTTCAGTCCTCAGCAGCGCAATCGTACCAACAAGTGTCGAATTCGGCGTCAGCGAAGAAGTCATGGTTCTCATGGTCAGTCTATTCGTGTTAGGATTCGCCTTCGGCCCAGTCGTTTTCGGCCCAATCTCCGAGCTCTATGGACGAAAGATTCCTCTCTTCTCGGGATATTTCCTGTTCGCCATCTTCCAGATCCCTATAGCTGTGGCACAGAATCTGCATACGATTATGATTTGCAGATTCTTTGGAGGCTTATTCGCCAGCTCACCTTTGGCTGTTGTGGGTGGAGCCATGGCTGATTTCTTTGATCCCGTGACTCGTGGTGTTGCCCTCTCGCTGTTTGGTGCTGCGACGTTCGTCGGACCTACGCTAGGACCTATTCTTGGAGGTTTCATAACCATGTCGCACCTTGGGTGGCGCTGGACTCAATGGATTACGCTGATCATGGCTGCACTTTTCGGAGGCATTGGGCTTTTCGTCATTCCAGAAACATTCGGGCCGCGTTTACTTCAACTCAAAGCCAGGAAGCTCAAATATCAAACTCGAAACTGGGCACTCCACGCGCCTCTCGATGAGAAACAAGTCAGTCTCCAAGACATCGCGGAAAGGTACATCCTTCGACCTTTTAGGATGTTGATGCTCGAACCAATCCTGGTCCTCATCACGCTCTACATCTCCCTCATTTATGGCAAGTCAACCAAGCAAAATTTGTCTCCTACCTGTCACCGCCATCCCACTAACCCATTTTCACAGGTCTAATCTACCTCTTCTTCGAATCCTTCCCCATCTCCTTCGAAATCGAACGCGGCTACAACTTGGGCGTCGGAGCCCTCCCCTTCCTCGCAGTCCTCATCGGCGTCATCATCGGCTCCCTCGCAACCATAGCGATAACCAAAACCCGCACAGCCCGCATCTTCGCTGAAAAGGGATCCATCGTCCCCGAAGAACGTCTGATCCCCATGATCATCGGCGGCTGCATCCTCCCCATCGGAATGTTCTGGTTCGGCTGGACCTCGAACAAACACATATCCCCCTGGCCGCAAATCATCTCGAGCATCCCCATCGGAATCGGAATCATGATGATATTTTTGCAAGGGTTGAATTACATCATCGATTGCTATAAATTCAATGCGAATTCTGCGATTGCGGCGAGTACGTTTTTTCGGAGTTGGGTGGGGGCTGGGTTTCCGCTTTTTGCCACGCCGATGTTCAAGAATTTGGGCGTGCCGTGGGCGATGAGTTTGTTGGGGTTTTTGTGTATTGCGATGGTGCCGGTGCCGATTTTGTATTTTGTTTTTGGGGCGAGGATTCGGAAGTTGTCGAGGTATTCGCCGGATTAGAAGGGATTATAGTAGTAGGTATGGAGGTTTTGGTGGGATGGGTGGACGCGATAGATTTAAGACTGTATTGCTTTGATAATGATTTCGATGACGGTGATCTGTTCGACGTCTTCGGTCCAGAGCTTTTTTCACTAGAGATGGCACCGCTTCTTTAAACAATTGATATGTGACGCAAGATAAACGGACAAGTCGCTTGGCCAGGTAAGCAGCCATATTTTCCCATCTCTTGCTTTGACATCGTTCATCCTCCTTCCTAAATGACCCCAAAACAGTCTCAAAGAGGCATATCATTTTCACACGCCGCAACGTTAGAGAGTCCCGTCTAACGACGTAAAGCTTATTTATAAGATCCTTAGTTCTAACGCTTAAATTTTACTACTATATTATCTTTATAATAAAGGCTTTTGCTCTAGACTCGCTATAGAAGTATAAAGTCAATATAGAGTACCTATACTAATTATACCTATAGTCTAGTCTTATACTATAAGTATTAATAAAGGCCGAGAGAAGTCGGTATAGATAGATTTAAAAGCTTAAAGTTAGGATTATTAGAGTAGATACTAGAAACTATACTAGGATTCGTTTATTAGCTTAGAAGGATTTTAACTAGAGAAGACTATTATTACTATAGTCGATATAAAGCGCGTTTAGGTATCTAAAGCTATTTTCGATTATATCCTATACTACTCTAGATATATATAGGGGCTTCGAATAGTATAGAGAAATTAGTAAGACTAAGTATTAGTATATTGCCTTTACTAGAGTCTTCGAGAACTACGTATAGATCTCTATAGATATAATTATTATAGTAGTAGCTTCGAAGTCCTTACTATATTACTACTTTAAGTAAGTCTTAAGTATCGTTACCTAAGGTAGTAAGTCGGAGGATAGTTCTATTATAGATATAGTATTTCGAAGTTAATAATTACCGAGCTCTATATATATAGTACTGCTATAATAGGTATTTCCTATAGTATATATAGTAGCTAGGTTACAGTCTTATACTCTAGTATCTACATTTAGTTCTACTAAGACTAGTCTACTCTAGGATTAAGAGTAGATACGACTAGATCGCGATTATAAGACTCCTAAGCTAGATTTAGTATAACTTTTTTTTACTATACTATCTATATCTTAATTTCTACGCCCCGCCTCGCCTCGCTAAACCAGACGACTAGATCCTTAAAAGAGAGAATTCCTTATAATAATTACAGACTTATCTAAGCGTAGTATATACTTTCAAGTCTCGGTATAGAAATACAAGAGATGTTGCGGGCTCTAGGGAGAGGCTACGTCGATAGTCTGTCTCGAAGGCCACATTGCCTTATCATTAGAGGTGGAAGAAAGTCTTAAAGGAAGTCTTGGGATGGTTGCTCGGATATAAATAACGGTCGCGTTGGTCGGCCTTGGATGTTCCTAGCATGTTACCAAGCCAATAGCAGGAGTATCCCAGCTAGCTCGATCAGGCTGGGGTTGCAGATAGAACTACCAGCAACCCGATCTCACAGCATGCCGTAGAAAAAGGGGGTCTTTTTTTGAAGTCGTTCTGCGTATTCGGGCTCTCGAATTAGCACTGTGTCCAAGATATCCTTGTGGAGTTTTTTGTTCCCGGTCCACGGGAGTTGTTTGGATTATGGTCGATACGAAGGAACCCTACACAGGTTAATCAAACTCCCTTGTTGACTATGCTTGTAAATGTCTATAAGCTCCCCTGCCTGCGAAGCTAAGAAGCGACGATGATGATATATACCGAGGACGAACCCTCGGAAGTCTTCACACTGCGTTGCTTACGGAAGGTAGATAGACTTCCCTCTGCCTTTCTGATGATGCGTCTGGGTCAATGATATCCAGATGGAGACGAGATTGTTCAGTCGCAAAGTGTCGCTAGGATGGGTGTTCTTTCTGGTCGCGGCGACAGTGCTGACTACTGTGCTGTATCTCGGGGACTGGTCGCAAAGGAGAGATAATTGGAGCATAGGAGGCCCAGGTGCAGTTGCGGAGGAAGCCATTCACCTTCCAGATGACTCGGAATGCGTTCATCTCCCTGGAGCCGAGGAGGTGTTCGTCACGCTCAGGACCGGAGCAACCGAAGCATATGAGAAGCTGCCAATCCACTTGATGACAACTTTACAGTGCATCCCGAACTACATCGTGATGTCGGATGTAGAGACAAAGGTCGCGCACACTCCGGTTTACGACGCTCTCACGCGCGTCACCGCCGAATCCCAAGATCAGTTCGAAGACTTCGACCTTTACAGAGACATCCAGAGATGGACCCAAGAAGGCCAAGACGTTCGAAAATTCTCTTCGGATGCGGCGTGGAATCTCGATAAATGGAAGTTCATGCCGATGGTGCACCACGCATTCGAAAGTGCTCCGGAGCGCACACAATGGTTCGTTTTCATTGAAGCGGATACCAGCTTGTCTTGGGTGAATCTGCTTCACTGGCTCCAGGGGCAGGACCCTCGCGAAGCCTTGTACTTTGGCGCCCCAGCACCGTATATTCCGGTTAAAGACTTCTATTTCGCGCACGGGGGAAGCGGGGTGGTGATTTCTCGCCCAGCGCTCGAGCGGCTGGAGCATGCTCGAGCGCGTGAAGAGGGCGGATCAAAGGCATATGACCGACGATGGGAGAAGGCGACGCAGGAGACGTGTTGTGGTGATGTGATCGTTGGGCAGGCCCTGGAAGAAGTCGGAGTGAAGGTGACCAGCACGCGACCGATGTTCCATGGCGAGAACCCCAGGACCATGGTGTGGGATCAGGAGAACTGGTGCGTGCCGGCGATCACGTGGCATCATGTGAATGCCATGGAAGTGGACCGGCTGTGGCGATTCGAAAGGGACTGGATCAAAGAGAAGGGCGGCGCACAGCCGTACTTCTTCCACGACATCTTCCAAGCGTTGGTGGAGCCGTTTGTCGCGGCGGACAAGAGGTGGTGGAACAACATGTCGCCGAAGTCGAGCGGCACAGGCTATGATGCCCACAGTCCGCACTTTGACCAACTGGAGCCATCGGAGCAAGAGGCCGCGCGTTCCAAAGAAGGCTGCGCGGCTCTGTGCAAGCGCCGGGCGAGGGAGGAATGCGTGCAATGGAAGTGGATGGAAGGGAAGTGCCACCTCAGCCCGACGTTCGTGTTCGGAAGCCCTGATGAGCTGGAAAATGAGCATTGGGAGAGTGGTTGGCTGCTTGATCGCTTCCGGTCGGAATTGAAGTCATGCAGGTAGCAGTGTAATATGTGCTCAGCAATTCTATATGCCAGAGATGAGCTTGATGCATGCTTACTAAGGCTTGTGTTCAGCTGAAAGCATTCTAGCCAACAGGCTTTGGACTGTATACCATGTGGTAGAGGGTTTCTATGTGGATCTGTGACTCCAAGAAGACTTCCCTGTGGATGTATAGATGTGTATGTGTAGACAGGCTGCCAGCACTATGAAAGGCGGCTTGTAGCTTCTACTGCATATATGTGCCGGCTGAACCTCGGCTGCAGGCTCAGGTTGATCTTTTACATCGCACCCATTTCGCAGCCATCGCCCTGCACAAGTCATCGCCATCATGTCGCTATCGCCATCGACACAAGCCGTCCGCGCGCGTTCTCTCTACCGTCGCCTTCTACGTGAGCTTCCCGCCCGTTCGCCCTCAATCCTCGCAAACCCATCGCCAGTGCAGAAGCACATTCGATCCGACTTTGCAAATGCACCAAATTCTGCCTCGCTTCAACACCAGGCATCCAAACCGGCAGACCGTAGATTGGACGAAGCCGAGCAATATGTGCAATATCTTGCGTCGCAGCGAGTGTATACGACGCTTCTCGAACGATACAATCCGGGAATGAACATGACCCAGGAGGACCGAGTGCGCTTGACGGCGAGGAGGGTGGGTATGGACTTGCCCATCGACTTGATGCGTGGCAGCATTGGCAAGAGTCAGAAATGAGGTCGTTGGGCTCACATCCACGAGAGAAACACGCGACCTATCGGCAATTTCACGTGGCAAGCTCCAGCCCAGCTGGCAACTAGTCGCACCATTCAAAATTCCGTCTGGTTTGAAGCGCACACCTGAAAACTCCGTATCGTGAGCATAGACACCATCGACACAAGAGTTCTCACCAATACACAAGAGCCACTACGCCCCAACGTGCAGCGCGCGATGGCATTTGTCAATCTTCCAGCAGAGATTCGCAATCCGATTCTCAAGCTGGTCTTGTCGACATATTCTGGACATATAAATCTGCATACAAAGCATGATGATGCCCTACCAGCAGAAGACGTCTCCCACCGTGCTCTGGGACCTCTTGCCCTACTGCTAGTCTCACGACGTCTGAAGTCAGACACTCACGCCATGGTTTTCGCGAGCTACGCTATCCATCTCCCGCCAGGACTGCCACCTAAGCCCGCGGCCAACGCCCTATTCCACTGCATCACATCTGCAATCATCGAGCTAGGCATGTCACCCGGGAATGTTCGGATACTCTATGAGCTTGGCAAATTCGAACTTCTGGCATCCCTGGAGCTACGTTGTTATCGCCCGGTCTTCAGTACTCTGGAACGCAGCTTCCAGCCTTCTTCACAGTTCAAGAGATTGCGAACTTTGAAGGTCGTTGATCTGAAGGCGCTCGGGAGAGACGAGCTCTCTTCTTCCAGAAGATCGATCTTGGAAGACAACTGTGTCATTGAACTGACCACACGCATCATCGTCTTTGGCATCCCAGAATCTGCCATGGAATATGGCGCCACCAAATTGGACAAGGACGCGAGGAAATTGCTGGATCGCGTGCAGGAATGGACGCCGGAGAGAAATCTTGAAGTATCGGTTTGGCCATCTCAGAGCATGGTACAACTAGCCCGCTTGCGCGCGAACGAATGTCGGCTCGAGATGTACGTAAGAAGGAGACATATCTGGAGCGAAGGGGGCCGTCTTCTGGCTAGCACTTTGGAGAGGATTTCACTCTAAGCCATCGGTGAGAAAGCTCTTCATGTCCGGTATTAACCTGCATCTGCAGCGCAGACCGAGAGTCGAAATCAACGAGCTTCGTCTAAATCCTTTCCACCAACAGTGAATCCCGGTCTCCTATCCACATCCTTCGAATTCAGCCCCCAAGCCGTGTAACTGTGAGAAGGGTTATGTCAGCAGGTAGATAGGGTAGTGGTAGGTACAAGTAGTATTCGATAGAGATCTAGGAGGAGAGAGAGGAAGGTAGGCTAGTTAGCCTAACGCTAAGCGCTAAGCCCTGCCTAAGGCACTAAGACCCTAGCTTTACTCGGCCTAATTATATACCGATTACGTATAGCCTCCTTAGCCCTAATATACGCTTCCCTTCTAAAGGCCGCGCCCTCGTAGCCTGTCTATAGTCTAATCTTAATCTCTATTACTTCTAACTTAGCAAGTCTAATAAGCTACTTAGCCTACGCTAAATTAAATACGCAACTACCTAATTATATAACTATATTAAACCTTACCTCTAATATAATATAATATTTAACTCTAACTACGCTATCCTTATATATAATAAAGTAATATATAACTACGAGAATTAAGGACTATCGACTAATTATAATACGAGCGCGTCTTCCCTACTATAATAGATAGGTATACGAGGTATTATAGTACTACCTCCGTTCTAAGTAATATCGTACCGAGTTCTTTGCGTCTACTCTTAAAAAACCTAGAAATGTCCGCTTCCGAGGGTTGTCCGTTCCGAGGGTTGTTCTTATTATTATAAGGGCTATTATTTACTATCGTAGTTTTACTAGCCCTAATTAGTTAGGTTTAGTAGCCTTAAAGTATTAACTAATTATATCTTTTTAAAAAACTTAGTTCTTCTAGTTTCTATAGGTAAAGGCTATTATAAGTATAATAGTTAAGGTTCGCCTCTTTTAAAGAATTAGAAAGATCGAGGAGTAACTTATTATCTATAAGATCGACCCTAGCTAGCTTAGCTCTATAGTTTTTGCCTTTAGTTAGTCTATTAGTCGCTTAATCTTTTTAGTCTCTAAGCCCTTCGAATAGCTTAACCCTTTTAACCTAGTTAGCGTAGTGCGTTCGGCCTTAGGTTATAGTATAAGTAAGGTAGTTTTTATAGGTATAGTAGCGACAATAGGTAAGGTTAGTAATAGCAGCGCTAGTCGTCTTAGCGCTAACTTTACCTTGCTTTTAATTTCCTTCTTCGACTAGTAACGCTTTAACTAGCGATACACTCTATAACACCGTTACTAATATAGTCGCGCCGCCTTCCGGCGTACCGCTATCTCGTAGCGCGACGCTATTATTATTATTATTATTATTACTATTTACGCGTACGCGCGCCGCCTTCGCCGATCGCCTAGGCCTCGAGGCCTCGTTAGAAGAAAGGAATAAAAGAGGGACCTATAGGGCGCGTTAGTAAAGAGGTAGAGTTCTTAAAAGAGCAGGCGATTAGTTAACGCGTCGTAGCGCGCCTAGTATAGTATAATACGGGTTATATTAGTAGGTAGATAGGGTAGTAGTAGGTATAAGTAGTATTCGATAGAGAACTAGGAAGAGAAGAAGGAAAGTAGGCTAGTTAGCCTAACGCTAAGCGCTAAGCCCTACCTAAGGTACTAAGACCCTAGCTTTACTCGGCCTAATTATATACTAATTACGTATAGCCTCTTTAGCCCTAATATACTTGAAGTAGGTAGTGTGCACCCACCTTTTAGGGTCTTAGGGTCTATTACGTGCATAATGCCTAAGGCTGCAATCTGCTGTCTTTAGGACTTCTCGCCTCTGTAGCTAGATAGTCCTTATATGAATATTAGTTTCAGCATTCAAGTGGTTATAAGCCCCTTGCGTTTCTAATACGCATTCTATACGATTCTAATAGTTACTCTATCGACTACTGCGTAGCTAGTATTGTTATCAAAAATCGCGCCGCTACTAACACGTCGTTGTCGCCGCCGCCGCTACTATATTAGCTAGCAAACACCTCGATTTCTAGCAAACACCGCGTCGCCTGTCCGGCTACGCTAGTATTTAACGACGCGTCGCCTATGCGGCTACGCTATTCGGCTGTCCGCTACACCTAATATACGGTTTGTATCTCGTCTTTACTATCGCTATCGCTGTCCGTAATGGCACTATCTTTGACTAGCGCTATCGCTAGCACCTATATTAGCAATATTCCAAAGCTAAAGAATAAGGAGAATTACCTATTATAGTCGTACGCCGCTAAAGGCGCCCTTAAAGGTATATCGGTCTAGCGCTATATGTAAGGCACCCGCTAGCGACCCCTTTCTAAGGCCTCTAGTGAGTCTTCTAAGGAGTTTAAAGACCGCCAAGATAAATAGGACGCTAAAGATTAGTTAGCACGTACCTAGATATTCGCTAACTGTGTTAGCGATATTTAACAATCGCTACTTAGTCTGTCTACTTCGAAGGAGGTGTAGGACTTTCTTAAAAAGAAATACACTAGTAACGGTAGGTCTACTAAATTTATACAATTCTAGGAATATATTACCCTCCGGTACGAGGGAAAGGACCTCGAGAAGTTCTGTAATAACTATAAGAAGAAGTTGGGTGCGCTAAGTACTACCAAGTTGGCTATTAGCGACTATTAGGCTGTCTACTTCTTTATTATACTAATCAGCCTATTCTATAAGGCATTCGCTCAGATGCGGCGAGAGCATATACGTACTACTAACTTCGCAGTTAATAGTAATATACTAGATAACATTATTAGCGCGTTGCTTAATAAGAACGTTGCTTAAGTCAATTAGGCCTAGCATAACAGACACTACAGCCAACAGCAACTAGCACCTGCTAGCAACAACAATAACGCGCCTCGAGGCAATAATCGAGGCAATAACCGTAGAGGCCGCGGCAATTCTACTAGTCGAGGCCGCGGTAGAAACAACTAGAATAGTTAGCCCCGTCCGAAGTGCGCCTATTGCGAGGGCACTCACCTATCTAATCGCTGCTATACTAAGTACCCTTATTTAAAGGAAGAAGACCGACTCCGCCGAGAGCGCGAGAAGGCTAAAAAGAAGGGGGTATAGTAACAGTAGCAGCAATAGCAGCAGCGTAGACTGACTGCTTAGCAATAGCAGCAACCGCTATCTAGTTAGAACAGTACTCAGGGGCTGTATGCGGCTAATGCTACCCCGGGGGTGTTATTAGACCTAAGCTACAATTACGCCTTTATAGCTACGGTTACTGTAAGCGACCTAGTTTCTACGGCTCTTACGGCTAGTACTCGTACTACGGATTAGGTTGTCGACTTAGGTACTAGCATGCATATAGTTAATAACCCTTTATTGCTTATTGAATACAAAGGCTATTACGTCCCTGTCCGGTTTAGTAGCAATACAAAGCACGCTACAATAGTTGGTATAGCTTAGACTAAGGTTATTAATAAGCGTAGTGTAAGCAACATGAAGCTGTCTAATACACTGTATGTTCTAGGTCTAGCAGCTAACCTTCTGTCTACTAAGAAGCTTGCCGACAAGGGCTGCTTCTACCGTAACGACAAGCGAGTCTTGTTTATATACGATGCTGAGGGCAATAAGGTCACTATCGCTCAAACTTACCGTAAGGATAGCCTTCCGTTCCTACATACCCCGACGTCTAGTCCTAATAGCTAGGTTGTTACGCTTCTGTCGAAGAAGGGGGTGCTAATAGGCACTATAAACGAATAGCACCTACGGCTTGGCTATATTCACTATACTAAGCTTCTACGCCTAGAGGCTAAAGGCTACATTATTATTACTAGCGACAAGAAGCAGACCTTCTATAACTGCATTACCTGCCGCTTAGCTATAGCCTATAAGGAATACAGCCGGCTGCTACGAATGCGGCCATCTACGATCTACTATATTGTCTGTGTTAACGTAGTCTGTATTACTAACCCTAGCCTTTGCAAGGAGCGTTACTTTACGCTCTTTACGTGCGCTAAGTTAGCATATCGCTACGAATATGCTAGCAGCCTAAAGACAGGCGCTACAGTAGCAATCAAGGACTATCGGGTTTATATTCGCACTCAAACCGGCTACTTAATTCCTATTTACCGCCTCGATAGAGGGGGTGAATATAGTAGCAATCAACTCCTGTCCTAGGCCCGCGATAATAGCATTATACTACAGGTTACGGCTCCCTATTCTTCTACGTAGAATAGCCTTACTGAAGTTAGCAACTATATCGTGTATACGACCGCTCGGAAGATAATATTATAGGCCAACCTTCTAAAGGCTCTATAGCCGTAGGCTGTTACTGCCGCTATATAGGTACTTAACATTACACTAAGCTAGGCACTCGATAGAGATAGCCCCTATATAGTAGTAGCTAAGGAGCTCGGCTAGTTACGTACGCAGCTACGCATTCAGCACTTACGTGCCTATAGCTATACGACTATTGTCTACGACTACAGTATAGCTCGTAGTAAGAAGTTTAACCCTCGAGGCAAGCTTAGCAAGCTAGTTAGCTATGCTAAGGACTTAGTAGACTCCGGCAAATATATAATCTATTTGCCTAATAAGTATAAGGTTATTGCCTCGAAGGATATCCAATTTATTGAGTTAGATAGCGACCTTCAATTGCTATAGGGTGTTGAACTATATACCAATTCTAACGACCCGTCTAAGAGCGAGTTTATAACTATTGAGTTAGTTATGCCTGCCTTATTTAATACGACGACGAATAAGGCTCCGAAGGCAACTGAAGCTGCTAGTATAGTCTAGCAACTTCCGCCTTAACAAGAAGAACCTATAGAGCAGGCTGCCGCTCCTTTAGTAGATAAGGTTGTTAACCCACTACCGAATAAGGACGATATGCCTAACATTCAACCGCCGGCCGCTAATAAAGAGGACCTCCATTTAGCTAACGAACAGCTACTATATAACCCTAATGCTAAGAAGGGCGAACTAGGCTAGTTGCCTGAGTTTGAACGCCCTAATACTGCAGGTCCGCGTACTACACGCTTAACTCGCAGCAATAAGTCGACTCGAGACCTATTACGTAGCTATTTAGCCGACACCGGTGCTAGTCGTAAAGAGCGCCGCAACCTTGCTAACATACTAATAGCCTATGTAAAGGGCTTTATAGCCGCCTGCTATATTGCAGAATAAGGCAACACCCCGAATAATAACATTCTAATTCTAAAGAGCTTTAAGGCCGCTAAGGAGTCGCTATATTAGCTACAATAGAAGGAGGCCTATAAGACTAAGTATAAGTCGCTTATAGACAACGCTACCTAGGTCTACGTTGCTAAGCAGGAGGTGCCTGCTAGCCGCAAGGTCGTCCGTAGCAGATAGGTGTTTACTATTAAGCGAGATGCTAATAGCACGTTCAGTCGATTTAAGGCCCGTTAGGTTGTTAAGGGCTTTACTTAGGTTGAAGGCGAGGACTATAATAAGACCTATGCTGCTATCGCTAAACTAAGCACACTTCGTGCCCTATTTGCTAT